GCGGCCTCCTCATGCGCACCGGAGGTTCAAGACCCAACCTCTGAAAGGGTGGGGAATCATGCTTTGTACGCTACAAGAACGTAGGAAAAAGTACAAAGTCTTGGTGAAAGAAACAATCCTTGCTTCGAGCATTCAACAACTCACCGAAAAGAGGGACCGAGCTTTACCGCCGAACCATGTCGATGAAGGTTGTGTACTGGATAGCTGGTGGACAAAGTGAGTTGCCTCACAAGCTTAGCATTTGATCCGGTCCATGCCCAGCCTGTCCTGTTGTTACCAGAGACCCAACAAAACCACAACGCGCGTTCACATGGCATCAAGGTTCTGCCAAACATGGGGATGCAGGAACTTACGCCACTGCAATCAACATGGAAGTCAAAAAGGGGGCCCCCGCAAAATAAAGCAAGTGTCCTCTTGAAATAGCACATTTGGGGGAATCCGAGAGTACCAAGTGAGTGGTCATTGACCGCTGCCCGGCAACAATTCCATGAAGAACCATTGAATATGCCTGCTGGAACAGATGGGTGGGTTGACAAAAAAAATCGCAGAGCTTTGCAGGGGCTCCTTTCAAGGCAGAAAGATAATACATCCCGAAGAAACTCCTACCTTGATCCCCCAGTTCACATCAAATTCCAAGCTGAGTGCGAGTTCAATCCCATGCTAGGCCAGCCAACTTATGTATTGCCGCACCTTGCCTCATTTCCACCCAAGCCTCCCAAAAAACAAATAACAAACCGCAAATTGACACGGGCAAGCAAGCAATACCTTGGCAAAAAATGACTTTCCCAACACCCACTCGGTGGACGAAGAAAACACGTGGACAAATCTCGCGGGCGACAGAGAAAATGCCATCCACCTGCGCCCCCGACAGTGATGGGCGCCATCGCGATGCCCTTGTACTCCATTGACGTCCTTCGGACGCAGACCATAGAGTCCCAACTATATGGGTGTGGGTCAAAACCCAGATACCGATACCCCTTTGGGACACCCCCCGAAAGGGAGCGGGGCACCAGGGCTTTTGACAGCCTGATACGTTCACGAACCACCGAAAAGGCAAACAGTTGAAAAGGCGACTCTGAGTCTGGGGAAACCAAAAGGAAACCGTTTAGTTCGGGGCAAAGGTTCAACAAGGCTTCGAGGAGGAACCCTGCTTTGGGGAGGAAAAACCTGAAAAGGGCCGACCAACATCACCACCACGCCAGCCCCAACCACGTTTTGTTTGGCTATGATTGCAGACCTGGAACACCCCAAGACAAAAACAGCAAGTGCTTGCATATGCCCTCTTGTCCATTAACATGGAACCCACCAGCATCCCTCTTAAAGGAAAATGGTCTTCCACGACCCCAAAACGTCAGGCTCCATGTTCGTGGACAGGAGGGCAAATCTCTCCCCAAAGAAAAACCCAAAAAAAAACAACAAAAAAACTCGCCACACCAACCCCCACCCCCCAAAAAATTACCCCAAAAAGAAGAGCGGAAGGAGATAAATCCGCTGTCCACTGAGAGTTCCTCAACCCGCCTGGGGGCTCCCAGGCGGCGGGACTCCGCATCCAGGACTTCCGTGGCATTGCCGCTTTCGCCGGCGCCCCTAAGCCCGGGCTCGCCGGACGCCAGGCACCTGAAGCGGGGTGCAAGCCAACTTTGGCCTAGGGCCGGGAAAGTATTGTTCTGGATGGGAAGATCTATTGGAGTCACGTAACTAATTCATTGCTTCATCTAGCACATCGTCATCCTTTTGTTTAGCGTTTCTGCGAGAACATGCGCGAGGAGGTGTTGTTTCAGCACCAATAAACTGCACGGGTCACCCCATTTGGAGCCCCGTCCGTTGTGGAACATCGCTTTTCCGTGAGAACATGTGGTTGATTCCTATCCACTACTTCATCACTTAAGGCAGTCGCTCACCACGAAAATCGGCGAGAGCCGATCCATTAAGCCGAGCAAAAGCTTATCCTTGTGCATTCTGACTGCTTTTCTTCCCTGATGGATTGAAGAGTGGCTTCACCCTGAATATCCCTAAATATTCACTAGCTCAGAAAGAATTGACAAACATTGTCCATCTCCTAGTTGCTCAATTCAAGTAATTCTTATAATACCTCTTCTTTGGATGTGTTTTTTGTGGGCTTCACATCTGGGGCATCACACTAATGGCCAAAACCAGGCTCCAGTTGCTAGGTGGTTATCCAGCCTTCACAGGGTTTCATGCATCTCAACCGGATTTTGTCCACATGGGGTTCCTGAACCTTCCACAGGGCCCTTCACCCACAACCAGGCCACCTAACTCACCATGAGGTTTGGTCAAACTGCCGATTGGCTAATTTCCCACAA